AAGCTCAATTTACAACCAGGCGTTTTTTCTCACAATCCGCCCCCACAAGTACTTTTTGTAACAGTGGAGCTCCTTGTGAAAGAGTGCGTCCAATATGAGCATTACTGCGTTTCGGCTTTGAATGGTAGAAGGCTACATTCAAAACTAAAAATACAGTAAAGCTACCGCTATGAACGGTGTGTCGCTTACCACCAGGCCCACGACTTGCTCGTCCCGTCACTCCGTTTAAAAAAGCGCTTTGTCCATCCATTTTGGAAACTACGCCGTAGACGTACATAGGACAAAGATTTAAATTTATAACACCTCTCTTTTTGAGTAAAAATGTAAGTAAGTATACAAAGCAATGTAAAATTCTACTTCTTAAAAGTATGTGGTGAAAGCGAAGACATGATTTGGATTAAAATGATTGTATCTGCAAACTTCATGGATTAATTTAAATGTAATATATAATTGGACGTAGTTAAACAAAAAGGATCCAATGCACAGTCATTTTCAAAATATGGCAATTTGAAGTTAAAAATGCTTCTCACTCTTGTTTTATTTTCAAAACTTGTTACTCATGTAACTCCAGAGATATTTATTTATGTTTATATGTTAGATTATTTTTGCTGATCTAAGAGGTTAGACTTTAGGAACCATTTGGTACATATACCTAACTCATTTTTGTATAATTTTGTGGATTGGATCTTTTTTGCTAACTACGTCCAATTGTAGCCGGTTATTTGTGATTATCTCAGCAGATTTATAATATCATAAATCAGAGTTACGATTATAGCGTGGAAATAAATACCAATTCAAATTTCAAGTTCATTTTGAGACTGATGATGATTGAATGATTAAGTAAATCGTTTAACTTATGATTTTGTTGCCTTTTAAATTCGCTATCATCCAAACGTTGGATATAATCATTAGATTGGAATAAAATTGGAATAAAAATGTCGTAATAAACATTAATTTCCATTGAGTGAAAATAAAGTTATCACATGGTGTCGTGTCTGTTTTGTTCTATGGTGCGAACAATCCGGTTTTCGCTCACCTATAAAGTTCGTCCTGTGGCCTTGTACCTATATCATCTCGTATTTTTCTCTTTTCTTTGGGATTGATCCGCAAACAACGGTGCGGCATCTTCTGTTTACAACATTGGGAAGAAAGCAACACTTTTATCAGGCGGTGAGAATTTTTTAACTAACCCCTCCAATAATTGTCGTATTAGAGGGGTTACACCACTGTCCTCTTTAGTACGACAATGATTAAGTATTTCAATTCGAATTTTTACCTGCAGCCACCTTCATCACAATTTTAACTATTCAGGTAAGGAAGACTCTTGTCACGTAGGTACCCGTATCTAAAACATTTTGAGATATACTGCTCAGGTAAAGGCGCCACAAAGCCCAAAACAACCGTTTATATTTTATGTTCGGTTCCACCTAGCGCTTTGATTTCGTCACACACTCACATAAAACCGCCGTTATTGTTTTGTCCCCATAAAACAAAAACTTTTTATGGCTAAACAAAGTAGCATGACGTTGTGTGAAAACAAATATGTTTTACTCAAACTTTGTATTATTTCAGAAACAAAAGACAAAAGAAAACTAGAAGTAAAACCCTAGAAATTGTACTAATATTAAATATAATAACGCACACACTCAACATAGCTAGGGAAACCCTGTGTTGCTGGTGCTATGGACACACACATAGACAACCACAAATTACACCCAAACTCACGTAAGAAATAAATGTAGGCCATACAAATATTTCTCCCGGCCCGGAAATCGAATCTGGGACCTCTGCCTGGCAGTCTGGCATGGTAACTGTTCGGCCATGGTGGCAGTTACTAAACATTTGCTATTACACATAAAGACTAACACTTAAGACACAGTGTTGAGGAATTCTTAATACTGACAACACAAACATTGAATTAATAGACGTTAATACTGGAGTAAACTTTTCTGGGTCAGAAAATTCCCGGCCTTTTGCTTACTTTATACAGCGGCAGCGGTTTAAATCCTAATCATAGTTATGTTAATTGCTAAATGAATGTTTTACGCTCGCGCTGAATATCTTCGTCATTTAAAGTTGTTTACAAAACAAGTTCCAACAAACATAAAAAAGTTTATCTACGTACTACAGTAAAGTTGGCGCTTTAAGTGCTTAATGGGCTTGTTCTGGACATCAAAAATAACGACTTTTGCACGTAAATTCGTATTTAACCATTTCAGCTTTTGGAACATTTTAATTGACATAGAAACTTGGGAAATCCACGTTTTGTGCTTGACCAGATTTTTTATGAATTTTGCAAAGATTGATATTTTGGAGTCGCCATCATAAACATCAACAGAAATACCTAATATGCTCTTAAAGTAAAATGAGAATCGATCGAATCGAATGAGAATAAAAGAAATCGATTTGTAATTACATTAAATAAATATGGAACTTGGAAATAATAATTCCTGTATAAATTGTCATTGAATTTTTTTTTCTATGATATACCTTTTCTATTTATTAAGATTAATGTAAATTATTAAAAATATACCTATTGAGGTGTAAATTATTTTATTGTATTTATGCATTGACTTATGTAATAGGGGTTAAAGTATGAAATTGCCGATTTGTACTGAAAATCTAAATTGTTTATTTTTTAAATTTTTAACAAATTTATTTAATCAAAATAGT